TTTAGGCGGACCAAATACCTTCCTTCACACTACACTCTTCACTTTTCTCTCAAACATACTTCCTTATTCACTTTGCTAAACAAGCTTTTCCCGGGTTTTCTACTAAGCTTGAAGAAACCCCACCCCTTGGCAATAAAAACACCTTTTTTCCTTTCTAGGGGGGTAACCCTCAGGTTCTTAGAGGTCAACATTTATACCTTGAACCACTCCATCCCCTTTTTCAATCAAAAGTTCTCCTCTTTAAAAGTTAGGAGTTTCCATCAAAGGTTGGAAGAGGATGGAGAAAAGGAGCTCTATAGGTGGTGCTTTGGGGAAAAACATATCGAAAGAGAAGAGAGGCGAGCCACAAGGCTGTTCAGTTGGCGACTTAGACAACAATGAAGGAGGTAACAGCGCCAAGTGAGTAAGAGGTAGTACCACGGAAAGAGGCAACACCGAGAGAGGGCTGAACGACACCAGGCAACTAGGCGGTGCCAATAGGCTACTGGGCGATGCCAGACAGCTGGGCGGTGCCAACAGACAGCTGGGTTATGCCATACAATTGGGCGGCTCCAGTAGGCAGCTGGGCAACGCTAGCCAGATAATGGGCAACTACAGCTAGGTGCAGGGCGACGCCAAAAGGGTGTTGGGCGACTGCTAGCATAGGCCACTAGCAGGTGGGCTACAACGGGCACAGGCCAAGTGGCGCGAGTGGGCTGGGCGATGGTGGGCACAGGCCAGACGGGGACACGGGCATCAATGCAAGAACTTATGAAGATGAGGTGACTTTGCTTGCCCTTTGATGTTTCTGTAGGTCTAGCAACTGCCAAATATTGAGATTTCCTTGACATTGGCCTTAATTTTGACAATCGTCTACTCTGATAGAGGTATGATAAGGAACAATGCAATGAATTCCCCACGAGGCAAAGGTACCATTGGCAACGATGGTTTGAAGGCAACCTCTACCTTTAGCTCTATAGATTGTGATGATGACATCGCCTGCATTGTTTTGTCTTTCCATATCCGTCCTGCCGTTATGTGACTTCGAGTCGAGAAAGATGAGTCGGCATGTTATGACTCAATGGGAAAGATCATTTTTCACTAGGATGTCTTAGAGGTAGGATTGAGATTTCCTATACCTAGGCCTATCTATTGGATCCTGGGCCACTTGTCACTCGCTCCGAGGAGACTGGCCTGAATGATTGGAGGGTAATTTTGTCGCTCTTCTCACTATGGAGGTTAGTTCACGGTGAGGACGCTTCCCGCCTTTCAAGGAGTTATTGGTCTCGTATGTGCTTCTAGATAATCCTACTCCTCATCAATGATGATACCACTTTACTTTGAGGTCCAGTAAATTTATTATTGGGCTATCTTCAAATTGCCATATCTGAAAATCTAGGTTTTTCTTTGTTGGAGGTGAGTGGGCTACTGAGGAGGATCGTGACCTGATGCACTCGAGGTGAGATAATCTTTTGAAGATCAAGCTAGGTCTGAGTTTTCCCCTTACTTGCATATTTTAATGTCACGTCCTTGTGTTCACTGCATGTTTGGTTCCCTTGCTGCTTCACCCACATTATTTGCGGACAGGAGAGTAGGCTCCAGACCATGCGGGATCATCCTATTAAGGAGTTTATGACCCTCATGTCCGCAGTGGGTCATCCCAGAGCCTCCTCTAGGCAAAAGAGGAAAGTTATTTGATCTTTCCAATAACCTTTGATGACTACAATGTTACAGATTCTTTTTCTCATACCAGTTTCATCGGTACCACTATTAATAGAGCGATGGTGTAGGCTCTCTATGCTTCTAGGGTGATGTCTTCCCCTCCTCCTAAGAGAGTGAAGGTTGATGCCCACAGTGCTTCTCAGCCGAGGTCCAATGACTAGGTTGTTTCCCGGGAGGTGGGATCCGATGGTGCCCCCACTCTTTCCCAGGCTGCAACTCCTTCGTGTACTAGACCTAGCTTTAGTACTGTTGTTGGAGTTGAGACTCCTGTGCGGTCTTCTACAAGTACTAGAGCTCCACATAGCTACCCTGCTTCTAGTAATGGCTCGATGTCCATGTTGTAGGACGTGAATTTGGCCAAGGAGTAGTTTTGGAGGTTTGTGACTCCCGAGTATACTAGAGAGGTCGGCTTTAGAGGTTCAGAAGGCATTATAAATACCACGATGGAGGGATTTGCCATGGTATGCCTTTTTTCTATTCGACCTTGATTTATGTACTTGCCCATTTTCTTTCATGTTATACTTTTTGAATGCTTGTAGGTGGTTGTTGCTTTTTCCTACCTTTTTTCAAGGCCAATCAAGCTTGGAAAGGCATCAAGGGCTCTGACATAGGAGAAATAGGTATGAGAGGCTGTTGAGGAACAGTCGAGATTGGCTCATGAGAGAGTTGTGATCCTTAAGGTGGAGTTTTTGGCGTCCCATAAGAGGGCTGCAAAGCTGAAAACTGATAGGGTGGCTAGCTTTCTGAGAGTAGCATCAGTGTTGCGGGCATCTCACGAGAGGGCCGTTAAAGTTGAGTCCGAGCTACAGATAGCTCAGGAGAGGGTTGTTGTGGCAGAGGCTAACCAGCGAGTAGCTCGTGAGAGAGCCACCCAGGTAGAGGCTCACTTCATTGAGATAGAGAGGATGAGGGAGGCTATTAAGAGGGCCGTTGCAAGTCCCATATGAGGCACTAGTGACTAATAGTGATGGAGAGAGCTTCGATGAGAGTGGATCAAGGAGCAGTGAGTGATGTCGAGAGTATGACGACTTTTATCTTTTTGTCTCTCTTTTTGTTTTTAGGTCTTGCTCTAACTTTTGTAAATTGTTTACGGACTTCCATGGAATGAAAGATAATTTTAGAGAAAACAACTCTTGCAAAGTGTTATTTCATAATGTAAAATAGCAAATAAAAAAAAGAGATTGATAGAACCAATAAAAGATCGATAAAACGAATGTCACGGTTTTGTACCCCATTATTGATAGTACTTCTTCAGATGTTCAGCATTCCAAGGATAAGCCAAGGTTTTTCCTTTAGATAGGTGTCTGGCTAACAACTTCTGCCACCATGTAGGGTCCTTCCCAATTAGGGCCTAACTTTCTTTCCTGAGAGGTCTTGGTAGATAGGATGACTTTTTTTAGGACTATGTCCTCAGGCAAGAAAGAGTGAGGCTTTACCCTCGAGTGTAGTATTTGGTCATGAGGCGCTTGTCAGGGGCGGAGCCAAGATTTTGCCTCAATGGGGGTAACCTATCCATAGCTGATTGAAAAATAAATTTGCCTAATTAGATTCAAGTTTAAGAGTTCGTCATTAAGTTCGTAACAAATTAGATAATGGACTACACATAATCAAAATATAATCCCTAAATTCAAAATATAATCCAAACTAGAATTTCAAGAAATCAATTAAAGCAATTTAATCATTTGGAAGAAAAATAGCATTAAGAATCTCAGATAGCCAATTTGAACATGGGCTTTAACAAAAATTCAAAATAGTTGAGTGGAGAACCAAGACAAAACAAAGAAAATCTACATAAGTCCATAAATAATACATCAAACAATCATCAATTCTACAAGAGTTAAACTAATTTTCTAATATAAAAAATTTGATTTTAGATTAGTGCTAATACTATTATCAAAAAATTTGGTTAATGGATTACCTCTCCTTGCTTCAACATAATCTTCTAGGGTTTCTTCAAATTTGATTTGCACAATGATTGAATCTAATAGGTTGATTTATTGATGAATACACCAAAAGAACTAACAAAAAAACTAAATAAAAGAAAGAAGATGGGCGGGCTGTCAGCTGAATGCCTAGACTGGACTGGAAGTTTGGACGAAGAAGACGAAGGCAAAAAAAAAACAGACGTGAAAAGGAGCTGTCAAAAGTTAGCTTTTAAGGGTTTAAAATTATATTAATATACTTTATACTTTAAGAAAATTTCAATGGGGTAAGTTTAAGAAATTCTTAAAATTTTTAAAATTATACTTAGGTCCAAACTTTTTTAAAAATTTCACTAGGGGTAGCTGCCAGGGTTGAAAAATGAGGAGGAGCTGCCAAAAGTTAGCTTTTAAAGGTTGAAAATTATATTAATATACCTTATACTTTAAAAAAATTTCAGTTGGGGCAAGTTTTAGAAATTCTTGAAATTTTTAAAATTATACCTAGGTCCCAAAATTTTTTAAAATTTTAGTGGGGGCAGCTGCCCCCCATACTAAATCTGTCACTAGGACTTGTATTCTGTATTCCTGAGCATTATCATCTCCCTTTTCTCGTTTATCAAGTCGAGGTTGATACGGAGGTCTTCTTCGTTAATGGTGGGGTTATGATTTTGGACCCTAAGGGAGTGTACCCCAATATCGACTAGTATAACTACCTCTATACCATAGACTAAGGAGAAAGGAGTCTCACCCGTAGGGCTTCTTAGCGTTGTCTAGTAAGCCTATAGTACTTTTGGAAGCTCGTCCACCCATTGCCTCTTGGCGCTTTCTAATCTGGCCTTTAGGTTGCAGAGGGTCATTCTGATGGTAACCTCCGCCTGCTCGTTTGCTTGCGAATGGGCTGGGCTGGAGTGGGGTTGCTTGATTTATGGGTCTGTATAGAAGTCATTCAATAGTTTGTTATCAAACTGCTTGGTGTTATCACTAACTATTGCATGAGGTACTCAGAAATGGTATACTATGTTCTTCCATATGAAGTCGTTCACTTTCTAGTTTATTATTCTGGCTAATGACTAAGCTTCTGCCCACTTTGTGAAGTAGTTAATGGCTACTACCATAAATTTGATTGGCCCCGACTCATAAGTAAGGGCCTAAGATGTCGATCTTCCACATAGAGAAGGGTCATGGGCTCAGGATAGGGGTGAGCTCTTCTAGTGGTTAACTTGGCACTGTTGTGAAGCGTTGGCATTTTTCATACTTTCTTACAAACTCACCGGCAACTTTGATTATACTAGGCCAGTAGTAGCCTTGCCTTGTGAGCTAGTGCACACCCTCCTGAGTGATTTGCACATATTCCCTTGTGAATTTCCCTCATGGCATAATCGGCTTCTCCAGGAGAGAGGTAGCAGAGTAGGGGCAATAAGTGACTTCTCTTGTAAAGGGTGTCACATAGGATGACATATCTAGATGCTCTCATTCTCAACTTCTTGCCTTCTACTAGATTCTCTAGGGGAGTGCCTTCCTCCAGATAGGCTTGAATATATGTCATCCAATTAACCTTGGAGGATGCACAATTAACATTATCCTCCTCTGCCTTGAGCCTGCTTGGCCAAAATTGGTGGCCTATCAATGCAGGGCCCATTAGTATGTTTGCATATGTGAACTTGGCGAGCGCATCTGCCATGGCATTCTTCTCCCATGGCACATGCTGGATTTGAAAATTGTTGAACTTTTTCAGCAAAGCTTGGACCACTGACAGGTATTCTTGCATTTTTTCTTCCTTTGCTTCGAAGTCTCCTTTTACATGATTGTCTTTCGGCTAGGAGTCGCTATAAATTATCAGGCATAGGGTTTCCATCTCAATTGCGAGTTTCAAGCCTGATATAAGGGCCTCATATTCTACTTGGTTGTTTGATGCCCCAAAATAGAGGGAGACGACATACTTGAGTGGAGTGCCACCAAGACTGATCAGCACCACCCCTGCGCCACCACCCTAGCTAGTAGAGGATTCATTGACATACAATCTCCAACATGTTACAATGCCAGTGGGGGACGTATGTTTAGGCGTGGCAAGGCACTCAGGCAAAAGCACAATAGGCTGAGATACAGGCAACGAGGGTGCCAAAGACTCTAAAGGAGTAGGTGCATGGGAACTGGGCGCC